TCTTTCTTTCTTTCTTTCTTTCTTTCTTTCTTTCTTTCTTTCTTTCTTTCTTTCTTTCTTTCTTTCTTTCTTTCTTTCTTTCTTTCTTTCTGTCTCTCTCATGTTCCTCTCAATCCCCTGACTCATTATCTAACGCTGTGCTCTCCTTGTTCTCCCTCCCCATGGTCCCCCATCCAGAAGGTGATCCTGATAGGAGTTTGTGTTGCGATTTGTATCACCATCCTCATTATTTCGCTCGCAGTGGGACTCAGTTAGGAGCCTAAAAAATCATCACATGGCAGACAGGACAGTCATTATGAGTGACATGAATGCCAAAAAAACACACACAACTGTTCATGTGTTAAATGTACTGTATGGTGGCCTCTGCAATGTGTGCAGTGAGCACTGCTTGTGAACTGGGAAGCAAGTCATTGCATTACTGGTCTGAGGTCTGTGCAGCAAGCTATGAACACTCAAATATAATCTGCATCAACTTTTATTCTTAATGTGTGCTTCAGCTCCAGGAACGGTTTGTGCTTGGCCTGTTTGAGTTGCAAAGCTTTGTCATGTGCATGTTTCTCTCTGTTGTCCCACAAACACAAAATGAAGATGATTGCATTATTACTAAAATGGTCATCAAAATAAGCTTATTACCAATTAGTTTTAACAATGATGTATTACTAAAGGTAAAACAAAATAGTTAAACATTTTGGGAAATCCACTTTTGAGTCAGGTTGGTCAAATCTGTGCCTTAGAGATTTTATCGTTTCGCAGCCATAGTGACTTTATGGAGGAGTGATCAGGAATTACAGCAATCTCCAAAAATGTATTCTCCCTTCCAGGCTTTCATCTGTAGTGTTTATGCTTCTGTGCAATTTCTGCTTTTGGAAAAGTCTAACAAATATAAAACAATTGACTTGTGGTGATGTGTTAACAGCTGGGTGGATGTTTTCTTTTTTGTTTAGTTTTTTTTTAATAATTGTGATTTTTTTTTAATCATGATTTTTAAGATACTGCAACAATGTAGAGATTTTATTTCCTTCTCACCCGATACATCCACGATATATCGATGAATCTGAAATGACCAGGTAAATTAAATAAGCTATTAATAGTTTATGAGTGAAATTAGGATTTATAACACACAAACAAATGTAAGTTTATAGTTGCACATTTAAAAGTTTAGTCAGTTACTTTACAGAGCTTAAAATGAGGTAAAAAGAACCTCAGATGAATAACAACACATGACATATGTGTCATTATTTATTCTTTAAAAATCCAAAATGCAGAACCAGTGTGTGAAAGACTAAGTACATTCTTAATACTTTCAGAGGAATTAAAAGGGTAAGTAGCAGCCACGTGCTGCTAATCTAATGCATTTGATAGTGGAGAAGGGTTCTTGTTAAGGTCCATGCCTCAACGAGAACCATCCCTGTGTACTGCTCTGTCCCTCATCCTTCTCTGTTGTTGGGAACGAGTCTTGGGTCGCCAGGTTCTCTGTTAACGCTGTGCCTTTGACGTGTCCTTTCAGAGCGTCGGGGCACTTTTCTCCCTGAAGCTCAGAGATCAAGATATTTTCATGTCTCCGAAACAGGTCTTTGAGCAGAAGGATGACCAGTTTGAGGGCCTAGCACCGAAGGCGCTAACCCTAACCCCCCTAACCCTATAGCATATCAAACACCTCATGATGATTTGGGTTGTGCAACCACAGAAGCTGGGCACCTTACAGTCACTGACAATGATCCCAAGCATGGCAGCAAAACGACAACAGAATGGCTGAAAAAGAAAAGAATCAAGGTGTTTCAATGGCCAAGTTAAAGTCCAGACTTCAACTAGATTGAAATGCTCTGGTGGAATAGCTGTGCTTCATTAAATGCGCATAAATCTCAACAAGCTGAAGCAATGTTAAGAAGAGTAAGCCAAAAAAAAAAACCATTAATATAAAATGCTGAGAAATATGTACAGAAAATGATTATTTCAAGTTATTGCTGTTGGAGTTGGTTCTACGAACTACTGAATCATGTTGTTTACTTAGCTTTTCACACACTGCTTCTGCACTTTGCCTTTTTTTTAAACAAATAATGTCACATGTTTTGGTTTATTGAGTAAATTAAAATTGAATGAACTAATTTAAGTCTTTCTTTGTGGAATTAGCATGTTCTCCCCATGTTTGTCTTTCCGGGTACTCCAGCTTCCTCCCACAGTCCAAAGACATGCAGTTAGTGGGGATAGGCTAATTGCCCATAGGTGGGAGTGCGAGTGTGAATGGTTGCCCTGTATTTGTGTGTTAGACCTGCAACAGACTGGCAACCTGTCCAGGTTGTATCCTGCCGCTCGCCCTCAGGAAGCTGGGATATGCTTCAGCGCCCCCGCAACCCTGAGAAGGATAAGCAGTAGAGAATGGATGGATAATTTTAGTTTAGTTGTAATAACCAGATGATTTTGTTTATGTCCTGATATGTAAAACTTTAAAACTGCATGAGGGTGTCTCATAGAGAGAGATGATGTGTTTAATTGAACTTTTATTTTCTTCTTATTATACTGATGTGATGAGATGCATGTGACTCATAACTAAGGGCATATTTCCTTAAACGGTTTCTTTAAGAGTTGTTGGAAACTGTGCAAGTCCACAGGATTTATTTGCTGCACGCTGAACTTCTTCATTAGAGGGACCTTTGCTAAACACGTTTTAAAAGTGAAGTTTGTGTTTGGTGGATTTTTACTTTTTGATAAATTTGCAGTCTTGCTTGCATATTGTTGGATAACCACTAGATGGAGCCAAATCGATGCTTTTTATGTTGTGCATGTGATGGCTTTAACCGCAGAGATGATTTCTGTTTGTGGCATGTGTATATGACAGATGGTATGAGCAAAATGCAGGATTTAAAGATTTCTTTTAAAAGAAGATGTAGAAATAATGTAACATTTTGGTCACACTCCAGCATTATTAGAATGAATTAAATTGCATTTTTTTCCCAGCTCGGTTCTTTTACTTTTGTTGTAAACTGCATTTTGTTCAAATTATTATTAACTCTGTTCAAGTAAAGCACAAACAGTATAACTAACATGTTTTCTCTGCTCCCCATTTGCTGCTTTGGATGTTTTTTTTTCTTTTCTTTTTGTTAATACCATTCAGAAGAAAATTATGATTATTATATGCTGTATCATTCTGGGAGTCGTCATTGCTTCCATTGTTGGGGGAACACTGGGCTAAACCTCAGCCACGATCACACTAAAAAAAACCACACAAAGTCACACGACAGAGCTAAAAGCAGAATAACACACATTTCCAATTTCCTGTTTTAACAAATGCAATCTATTACGTGTTCAGCAAAAGATACGTTACATAATGTACAATAAATTTTACACACAGTGTACAGGGCCAGAGGTGTTTTGTTTTTGTTTCGCATGAGTTGCTATTTTGTAAATGTGTGGTGCTGCAAACTGTTTATCAGAGTGTCGAGTGTTGTCAACGATATGATGTTTCTTGAATGAAAAAGTTACTAAATGAAATGTAACGCTATACTAAAACATTCCAACTTCCAAGTATGACACTGATTCAGATGTGTCTTTTTTTTGTGTTGTACAGGCAAAGTGACAGGTAACTCATCGGTTATGTTTTCAGAGCTATGTTATCTGTAGACCTCTGTTCATTTGCACATGTATTTATCTTTTTTGTAGTCTTCTTACTTTCTCTCTCTGATGTCTTCTACCTCCCTCTTAAAAGCCCTGCATGGTTTAGTTCACTGTAAAGTGGTGTTTTGTACTCTGTTGCAAAAGGGAACACATCAAAAAGAACATAGCTACGCTGATGTTGGGTATTTTGCTCGTATATTTAACACACTGCCAAACTTTTTTTCTAATTGCACATCTCTTGTAGTTGACAGAAGCAACGCTACTGTACTTAATTTCATCTGGCCTTACCGGTTGTGCAGCATTTTTGACCGTTGCTCCAGTGTTGAGTGTGATTGAGTGCATGCATGCATATATAAGATTTGAAAGGATATTTGCAAGTTCCTTGGTAGCTACATGTCTGAACATGTTGTATGTAAGTCGTTGGATGAAAACATGAGTGCTTGTTGGTAGCCAAATGTGTCTTTGTTTTCTAAAGTAATATAAAGCTCTCTAACACTGCCAGTATATTTAAATAAGCTGTTAAAGTGGAGTCTAGTCTGGTTGGATTAATGAAGTGACAAACCTTTTGTTTATTTCTGCCGTTTCTGTAAACCCCAAGGTTTAAACAGTGCATATTATCCTGTCAAGCTACTTCTACTGTATGTTTATTTCCATTGATGAACTCACTGAGTCAATGAATGCATCAGCATGAACTCAAAGTAGCCCCGTTAAAAGACTCATATCATTTTTGGGGGGAAACATCAGACAGCACAGACTGCAACCATGTTACCATGTTGCCTACTCAACTTGTTGCCTTTGTGTTGTATTGTAATGACATGGGTTTATTTGTTTAATGAGTCTTGTTTTTTTCTTTTTTTAAGTAAAGTTTGTCCCAAAAAATTACACTGAGTTTGTAGTTTGCCTTGCACACATGATTCCACAGGGGAATAATATACCCAGAAGTCCAATACCAGTGAAAACATGAATGGTGAGTCCTTGAAGTTGATGTGTTGGTAGCAAGTTATTTAAGCACCAGAATGTCCACAAACATGATTGCAAAATTGGAGAGGGACGTCAAAACATTCAGCCTTCCTCCAGCCCAGTCCCAAACTGCTCTCCTTCACTGGTCTGGACGGGCTGTCTTGTCAAGATGAACTGACTATGATGTCACTTTTTCTAGACAGGATTCTGATTTTGAGGAGTTCAGTCATAATCCTGCAGTTGGGCAGCTGTGGCTAAAATGTAGCTTGCTATCGCCAGTGTGTGAATGTGTGTGTGAATGGGTGAATGACTGAATGTAGTGTGAAGCGCTTTGGGGTCCTATGGACTAGAAAAGCGCTATACAAATGCAGGCCATTACCATTTGCACCATTGACTCTTCAGTCAAGCACATACACAACGTTTGAACCTGATTGGACAAAGCAGGATTATTGCTGCACCAACACATCATTAGTAGCAAAAACCAAACCTGTCCTTAGCTTTCTATCAGCAGCAGAAGTGCAGTAACCTGAAAGCTGGGGCAGAGCGGGACTTGTGGGTAGCCATAATACTGCTTTCAGCAATTTCTCGTTTTCTGCGGCATGGGAAAAATGCAAAATAAAGATTAAAATGACAAAGATCTGTTTAGACCCAAAGAGCTTGGAAAAAAAATGACTGGACTAAGTTTCTTGAAGATGTTTCACTGTGACAATCCACATAATTAATACTGGCTTAGTGACCCTCTCAAGGTACCCAAATAGGGTTTAACAACTGGGACAGTCTACCATTTGATTTTAGAACTGAAAGGTTTAGCCCATGAAACATCTTCACAAAATCTAAAGTGCAGTCACTTTCTTTCCAAACTTCTTAGACTACCTGCATTACAGAACCTGCACAGACCTGTTTACACGTTTCACTGCCTCTGATGTGATCTGCGACACATCTGAATATGGATATGCTTCCACTTCATAGAAAACACACCTTCACTTCTAAAAGAAAGGTCAGGCAGCAGCACTCTGTGTCTAGGTTTAGCTTGCTGAATGGACAAGCTGAAACTGAAATGGCAACACTTGGGTAGCTTCATATGAGTTCTTCCAGGTTTATGCGCAGATGTATGTTTAAAGGAAGCCCAGAGGACCACATCTGATGGCAAAACTGCATCACTGCTGCTGGTCACATTTCCCTAAATAAAGTTGAAAATTGTAGCAGTCTTCTTTTATTAGAACTAACAACTTCAAGAACTCAAAAGGAACAGGCATTTATCTAGATGGTGCAGAAAAGTAACATTAACAACAAAGCCAACATTACCATCCACAAACAGCCAACTATATTATGTGTCCAGTGCTCAGTTCCATCTTTTAACCTATAGCTTGTACTGTATTGTATCTATTTTTCCCTTATCCAGTATAGTGAGACGATGCCCCACACATTTATTGGCAATATTTGTTAAATAAATCAACACTTCTCTGGCATGTGACTATTTATCCATTTGAACTGAAAGCAGGGAAGGTTGTCATGATGCATCTTGGTAACTTTTCAGCATATTATATTCTACTCAACAGGGGAAATTGCACAGCCTTAAAATCTGCAAAGGCAGTGAAAATTTGGGAAAGAAGAGGGATGTCTGCCCAATGAAACACTGGGAAGCTACCTGAGTAAAGTTAGTGGAGTTCTTTCAGTTTCACAAGTGGAAAGTATGACATATAGTCACACAATAAATAAGAAGAAGTGAGAATGAGTGCAAGAAGGCAGAAAAGACCATATGAAGAAACTTCAGCTTCCTTTTGTTTTTATTGTATTTCTTAACTTTACACTGAAGATTTGAAAATTGCAGTAGTATTTGTTCTTCACATGCTAACTGTCAAACCTGCAAAGTTTTTGCGTGTTTGCTTTAAGCTGAATAAATCCATATTTCAGACAACTCAGCATTAGCAACATGTCGCATGTTATCCTTCACGTCCTACGCCCTGGTTTAAATTTATTTGGATCTGGTTACCCTGCACTCAAATCTACATTTAAACTTCTCATACAGAATTAAGAGTGTAATTCCTCTTACTTCCTAATGGCACTTGTTCCAGTTTGAACTTGTTGTTTTTGTAGACATGAACTTCCTACCTACTTCCCTCTTCTAGGCGCAGGCTCTGTCCTTTTGGCACCTAACCTTATATTAGCTCGCTGGACTCTGCAATTTCCCGTTTTGTCACATTTAAATCAGATGACAATTACTTCCTCTGTAGTCTTGTGCCTGTTGTGATAATCAAATATGTGAAGTGATTGAGTTTTTATTTAAACAGATTTAACACAGAGAAACAGTACCAGCCATTCACTATCATCAGTTAACATAATGTCTGTATGTGGCTGTGGTTGCTCTAATTTACAAGTTAAATGTGATTGTCACTGTCATCTCAATTACTCATTACACCAACTTACCATCATCTGCTTGTATTTTACCTCACATGAGTTGGTTTACATCAGTTACAACATTTTATTGTATTGTATGTCGTTTCATGACATAGTGCTGCGCTGCCTGGTGTCA